TAGTTTTATAGCGACGGAAATGTCCGTCGCTATTGTTCCGTCGGTAAATTGCTGTTTTCCACTAGTGTCAAGATCATACCTTGACAAGAAATTATCCATAATATTCCATTATACCCATCCAATTCCAATTCAATCCATATAAGCAATCTAACTACTGAACACGAAAACTACCACACTACCAATAGCCCATCAACCAAGAGTATATATATCATCATTCACATCAGTCAGATTCTAAAACATAGCAAAAACAAATGCTTCGACAAGAAATTATCAATCATACTCAATATAACCATCCAATTTCAAAGCAATTCATATCAAAGATCTACTACCCCACTGAATTTCAGAGAATAGAAATCAGTGTCAATAAAATCTTTTTTCTTTTCTTTTTTTTAAAACCTACCACAATAGAATAAAATTTCATACATCATACTTACACTTGTCACAGAAGCTCCTGAAGCAGCAATTGTTAAGTTAATACAGTGTCTTTCATAACTTTGGGATACCAGTAGGTGGTTTAACCTTTCTAACGTCATTTGGATCGCCATTTGTAGGGCAATGCTAAATAAAATGGCTTGGAGACAGAAAATTCAGACCACAATAAGCATACATACCTAGCCAAGAAAAGATTAATTAGTCAAGTAAGCCAACAAAATCAACATACTAGGAACTTTGCATCGGTAACAGATGTATCCGGGAGGAGGTGTCTTCCTTTCAAACCCACCATGACCTTCAACCAATTAGCAAATTGTCAGAAAATAGGGAAGAAAACAATGGACAATAACATAAAGCAGGATGTGCCAATTAGATAGTGCATATTTGAAAGGGGAACTGCAACGTCTACTGAATACAAGCCAAGACAAAAGAACAAATGCTAACTATTTCTAAAATAGGTCCTCAGGTTGATTGGAGTGTGTTCAATAAACAAGTGTGCATGAGTATTATTTACTCTGCTCCTAGATCATATCAAACACCAATCACTGCAAGCACATCATAAACAACTCATCACTTGTAGAACCATTGTCAAACAATAAACTACATCCAAGGTAATCAATGATGAGTTGGATGCACAACACAAGCCAATGAAAGAGGGAAAGCACCAGCCATTACTTGTCACAACCATCCATTAAATTCATCATCTACACAGACTTTATACCCCCAGCTTTTGGTATACAAGCGAGTTATGTACCTCAATTGACACGCACATGAGACACACATGAAATCAACAATGGCAATGTTCTGAATTACCCGATCCAAAGCATTACCATCAAGAAAATAATAATTTTATCACTCATTACTTCATATTTATCTAATAGTTCTCAATTTATTATTGTTGGCCTTCTTGTTTTGATGATGTTTAACAAACAATTTATTATTAATGTTGTTTGTCTAGTGTTTGTGCATTCCTATGTTTTGTAGACAAACAACGTTGTTGGAGGATGGATGGAATAGAGCTTCAACGATCATATCCAAAGGAGGTTGGCGGAATGTCGGGTTGAAGCCTATACAATTCAAGTTAAAGATCAAGTTCAAGCTTCATCCGCATGTGTACCAAGTTGAGCTACAATAAAGATCAAGATCAAGCTTGGGTAAATTAGTTTTAGGTTTTATATTATGTGTGTTAGTACTTTAAGCTCAATCATATACACACATACATGCTTTGGTTTTGGTTTTGTATATATACAGTTATATATATACATATATGTTTTTGGTTTAATAGGTTTCGAGTTTATATATGAAACAAATAAATAAAATTGGAAAATACTATTTTGTTTCACGTTTATGTGCCTATATATGATTTCGTCTTTAACAAGTTATATTTAATGAAATCATATTTAGTGTTTTGTATATATTGCATAGAATATGCAATTTTATGAAAATATGGTATTTCTAGGTTATAGACTTCATAACAACATGTTATATCTTTTATCAAGTCTATACAATCACTTCATAAGGTTTCAAAATGTTGTTTAAGTCAAAATATCAAAATATCAATTTTCAGGTTTTCATGTTTTTGAACATATTTGCAAAATGATGATATTTTACATTTAGGAAGTCCTTTCTGATAACCAGTTGCTGTAGCATGTTTATTATCATGGCTACAATTATTCCCCAAAGTTTTACATTTTTTGGAATTTATTTGATATTTTTAAACAGCATTTCAAAATCAGATTCGTCGGTCGACCGCCGCGGTCGACCGAGAGCTTCCTTCGGTCGACCACACCGGTCGACCGGATAAGTCAGCTTTTGTTTTTCTCGTTTTGACCTGGATAGCGGTCGACCGGACTCTTCCGTCGGTTGACCGAACTTCTCCATCGGTCGACCAACAGGATTTTCGGTCGACCGACAATAGATCCGTTAGACACTAACGGCTATTTTTCTGAGCTGTCTTCTGGGGACTTTTCTGTCTTTTTGCTTGGGGTTTTTGGCTGAGTTGTGAGTGGGTATAAATACCCCATTGCTGATCTTTTTGTTTAACTAAGAGAATGGTTTAAAAAGATTTTAACAAGAGTTTAAGCTTGTTTAAGCTTGTTTAAGGGTTTGGTTTAAGCTGTTTTGGTTTTCACAAGTGGAGGAGATTATCTTCTTGTTTGGGCTCATATCTCCATCTCTCCATCTTGATCTAGAGAAGTTTTCCTAAACTCAATTCTAGCTTTTATCTATAATTATTTGTTGATTATTATTTCTATTAAAGTTAGTTTTATATTGAGTTTCGTTTGATTTGATTTACTCTTTGTTTACACACACAACCATTGAGCTTATTGTATTTGCATACATTATATAATTAGGTTGTGGGATAGTGTGACATTGAGTTGAGCCTAATTGAGTTCTCACCTTGTTTTGAGAACAATCATTTGTTATATAGTGAGGAGTGTGTGGTGAGAGTCGGGGATCGTCCCAAGAGGAGTGGCGTCGGTTGACGTGCCTAGGGAGAGGTTGTAACCGAGCACTTGAGGGAGACGCGGCTAGGTCCAACACTTAGTGGGTGTAGAGTGTGATTGCATAGTGTTTGTTGTGTGAGAGTTTTCGGTGAACTTGTAAACCGAGTGTGTAGAAGAAGTTCCGGCTTCCAAACCGGATTGTGTTAGTGGATTTCTCCCCGGGAGTGGGGAGCGGAGACGTAGGACGGAAGGTCCGAACTCCGTGATCATATTGCTTGTTTGAGTGTGCTTTGGCGTTCATTCATATTTATGTTCATACCTTATATCGCCATTGTCATTAGCTCATTATCTATATCATCCACTATCTTGTTTAGATTGTTAACCCCTTGTGTTAGTTTACATATCCTTGCATATATCATATTGTATATCTTTTGGTAGGATATATTATCTTGTGTTAGTTTATATATCCTTGCATATATATTCTTATCATATAGGATATATCTCTTTGTTGTTCATTTTGCTTATCCTAGTTTACATATCTTGTTGTATTTCATACTTACTAGGATAACTTGTTAATTAGTTTTAATTAGCATTTAATCGGATTAGATTAGCATAAGACCCTAATTACCCCCCTCTAGGGTCTAACAATTATTTTATTATATATTACTTGAAAGCAAAGCAATGGACCTAAGTCTTTGCCTAGCGATTAACAGATAGTCATAGCCTTGTCTTGCATGACCAATTTACAAGAATCTTATACTGGAAATAATCACACCAAAATGAAAAATGATAAAAAAAAGAAATTAATATGACGATGACAACAAGATAAGGAAACCAAAAATAATAGAGAACATATGAAGAGCATAAAGGTATACCGAAGCCACGACCAGCCATCATCCCTCTCCCAAAGCCTCTTCCAAAGCCTCTACCGCCAAAGCCATCTTGTCCTTGTTGTCCTTGACTGAAATGTCAGATGGTCCAATTAGAAGATAGTACTTTTCAAAACAAAATTACAATGAAGAACTGTTGCTATGATTTGTGGTTCATGTCACTTTAAACAATAACTTAAGACAATTTAATAAGCAGATCAACTTAGAAATCAATCAACACAAGTTTCTCACCGGCTCCAATCAAGTGCAGGCGTTTCAATTAATGCCTTAAGCTTGTCGTCTTCATCAATCCTACTAGCAGAAGAGACATCTACACCTGGATTACCCGACTGAGGAGGGGAATCTGAATCTAAGGTTTCGGATGAGGAGGAAGATTGGGCCTTTGACCTAGCCTGCTCGATCTCGGCCTCGGTCTCGGCGAGCAACGCGATCGCCGAGCCCAAGGGGGCGACGCCGCCCTCTTCGCCGATTGTTAGCCCGTTTTAGATGGAGAGGGAAATGAAAAAAGAGGGGGAGGAAATAAAAAGTATGCGGAGAAATAAAAAAAGAGGTGGTGATGGGTTCAGCGACGCACATGAATAATAAAGCGTCGATAAAAGTATTGCTTTTAGCGACGCAATAATTTTGCGTCGCTAAAAGCTATACTTTTGCCGACGCTATATAGCGTCGACAAAAGTGTTTATTTTTAGCGACGCAAAATTGTTCGTCACTAAAAGCTACACTTTTGCCGATGCTAACGTGCGTCGTCAAATGTATATTTTTTTGCGATGAATATTTTTACATCGCTAAAAGCTATACTTTTGCCGACGAAAATGAAATAAACGTCGGGAAATCCATACACTTTTACCGACGCTAAGTTAAAACGTCGCAAATAATATACACTTTTAGCGACGCTATTTATAAACGTGGGGAAAAATATATGTTTTGTCGACGCTAACTAAAATCGTCGGAAAAAACATAACTTTTGGCGACGTATTTAACCATGCGTCGGGAATAAGCGTCGGGAAAAGTGCAAGGCATGTAGTTCATATCATTACTCAGCCCTAAAATCTCTTATGAAGAATACAGACTAATGATAGAAAGTATCTCATCTAAAAATCAGAATTGAGGTGCGAGACAATACTCGTCTGGTTCAGTAACAATAGGCATCCGAGGACATCCTGGGACACGACGAATCAACACCGAAGTATTTTTAGGAATCATTGCAGCCTCATCAACATACTCTGAAATTGAAAATGGATAATCACGAAGTCCATAAAAATTAGAATAATATTTTATCACAAACCCATATCCCCATCAGCTAAAATAGTCCGTTCCAAGTACTAGAATAAGTACTAGAAACAATTTTAGAATCCCAAATGGCTCTTCTCTTTTAGTTTTGAGCAATATGTAAAATCAATAAACCAATCAAAGATTACACCTTTTCTAAGAAAACAAACCAACCTTCATTGGTCTGAGCATTGGAGATCATTAGGTCGAAATCAGTTCCCCTCCCCAAATGCTTAGATTCAAAAATCCGTTCTTTCAGATTACCAACAGAGATAAATTGCCCCTCAATCAGAATAGAATCATAGTCCTTAGCACTTTTGAACTTATAGTAGACAGCCATTTTTTTTCTCCTCTCCAAAATTTCCCCTACTAATCTAAATCGCAATAAAAAGTACTAAACCACAGAAATAACTTTGTTTTTTCCCTTAAAATTGAGCAGAATAATAGAATAGATAGAAGGCCTGGGATAAAAGCAGGCCTTATATCAAACTAGAACAAACAGAATACAACTATTTATCTCTTTTCTTTATCCTCGAAGAAGAAGCAGACCACGCTCTCTTCCAGAAACCCTAGATCCCCCCTGAGATCGAGCGATCCAATTGAAGAAACCGCACGATCAACGCAAAGATCCACCAATCCAATTGACGAAATCAAAGGAACCGCCTTCAACAGCCACCGATCTGAAGAGAGAATCCAAGAAACCACCCCCAAAAGATCCACCGACACGACGAGCAGCGCAGAACTCGATCAGGAGGCTTCAAACGATCGACGATCCACCGACGGGATCCGATCCGCTTCGGACTTCAGGATCGCTTCATCGCCGAGACCGAAAACCCTAGATCCGTCGCCGACCGCAGGAAGAACGAGCG